AGCAAGTTCTTAAAAAAACAAGATTTCAACAAAAAAGAAACTGGCAGTGGACAGCTCGAGAAAAACTTTTTGTAATCACTTATCTTAAACATGTTCCAGGTGCCACTGTTCATGGAACAGCAGACAAATTTAATATTCAACCGAAACAGATTCGGGAATGGCGTAATAAAGAAGGAGAACTATTGCTAGCTCAATCTCATGTTAAACATTTAAATACTGGTGCATAGCCCGCTTACTCTAATATTGAAACTGAGCTTGCTAAGTGGGTTCAAAACTTACGCAATGAGTTAAAGCCTGTAAGTCGAACCATGGTGCAAATAAAAGCAGCTTCTCTGGCAAAATTACCACAGTATTCTTCTGAATACCCAAATATTAATCAATTTAAATGGAGCAATAAGTGGCTTGATGGGTTTTTACGATGTTATAATTTTAGTAATCGTCATAGAACAACTGTTGCTCAAAAACTTTTTGAGGATCTAGAAGTACAACAGCAAAGTTTTTTAAGTTTTGTTCAATATTGCCGAATTCAGTATAATTACCCATTATCACTAATAAGTAATATGGATGAAACACCCCTTGCTTTCGATATGCCAAGCAATGTGACCATCGATAATATAGAAAATAAAACTATTGGCATTAGGACTTGTGGTCTTGAAAAATCATACTTTACTGTTGTGCTTGCTTGCATGGCAGATGGTAAAAAATTACCACCTATGATTATTTTTAAGCTAAAAAATATTCCACATCTTGAATTTCCAACTGATATTATAATTAGAGCTAATGAAAAAGGTTGGATGAATGAGATGGAAATGAATTATTGGGTAAACACAGTTTGGAATAATCGTACACCATGTACTAAAAACCCAAGATCTCTACTTGTAATGGATTCTTTTTTGGGTCACTTAGTTCCTTCTGTTAAAAATAATCTTTTTAACAAAAATACTAATATCGTGATAATTCCCGGAGGATTAACATCAAAAATTCAACCTCTTGATGTATCAGTTAATAAGTCTTTCAAAACAAAGGTTTTTTTTTTTTTTTTTTATCTTTAGCAGTGTTGCTAAAAGACATCATCGGCACCCATGTATACATCATTTATTTAATAGATTAGGTCTATATATAACAAATGGATGGCACAAGAGATCAAGCAGTTAACTGCGACTAGTAAAATAAAACGCTCATCTTATAATACTGTTGCAGAATGGGTTAAACAAGCATGGGATGATATTGATATCCAACTTATTCAACGATCTTTCAAATGTTGTGGAATATCAGTTGCAAATGATGGATCGGAAGAAAATTTACTTTTTGATTATGATTTAGTTGAAGGATATAAAGCCAATGAATATATTTTTAATTATAATGAAAGATCCGATTTTACAACCTCAACCTATTTAGATTTCTCTTCCCAACAACATTTTTTACCTCAAAGTTCTTCATCTCAAGATCCTCCATTCCAAGGTCCTCTGTTTCAAACTCTTTCGCCACAAAGTTCTCTACCCTCAAGTTTTCCGCCTCAAAGTTCCCTGCCTCAAAGTTTCCCGTCTCAAAGTTCCCCACCTCAAAGTTCCCTGCCTCAAAGTTCCCCACCCCAAAGTCTTAAACCTCAAAGTTTTCTATCTCAAAATTCCCCATTTCAAAGTTTTTTACCTCAGGGTATCTTATCTCAAAGTTTCCCACCTCAAAAGCTTTCACCTCAGCAATACTTACTGTCCCAACAAGGTCCTCTACACCAACAGCCCCACTTCCAACAGAACCTCTTACAGCAAGACTATCTGGCTCTACAATACTTTTTACCCTAACAATCTTTAACTCAGGATGTAGAATTTGAACAGTATTATGTACAAAATGAAGAGAAAAACTTTGTAAATCAATGGGCTTAATAACTTGTAATCACACAACAAAAGTTTCAAATAAACTTACCACTATTTGCATTTTGGATAGAATAGATCGGTTCTTTGGTTCTAATTTTAAAAAAATATATAAATAAAAAATAAATAAATAAATAAGAAATAAAAATAAATAAATAAATAAGCAAAAAAAAATTTCAAGCTTCGAATGCAATAATAGTGTAACATTAATATAATATTGTGTAATATTGACATAGCGATAAAAAAAAAAATTATAGTTTTTAGCCAATCAGAATTCACAATTATGTTGTTGATTCGTATCCGGGTCTCTTACAAAATACCATGTTCAATAACCTTGAATTATATCCAGTCTAAATCAAGGGGGGTCTAAATCAAGGGGGGTACCTTGCATTGCGTTTTACAGTACTAATCAACCAGAATGTTCTGGAAACTTCTACTAATAATAATAATACAATAATGAAATAACTAATACTAAATAATAATAATAATAATAATAATAAAATAATAATAACTAATAATAATAAAATAATAATAAATCGTTCTATAACAATAGTTTTGTGAAGTGTATATTTATATGCAATATGCATAGTTGAATTATAAGATATGACAAAAGTGTTAATTACATTAATCTAATCTTTTTTTTGAAGCTGATTATCATTATCTCACAACAGTTTTATAAAACCATGATTAATAGTTTGGTTGAGTCTTTTAATCTAACCTTGTAACTGCAGATGATGAGGGCATTTATACTTAATTTTAATATTAAGGATCTCACAAACTTGCTTTACAATTTCTTTAAATTTCCTTTCATTATTGCTTTAAAGAACTTGTTGTAGGCCAAAAATTCTAAAAACATCTTTTACAAGATGTGCAGCAACAGTACTAGCTTCTTTATTTTTTATAGAAACAGCAACAAGGTACTTAGAAAATATACAAATATATGTAAGTAACTATGAAAATCCATAATTAACATTAGCAAAATTATGAAAATTAATTAAATTGATTTGAATATGCCATTACAGTGCTATTAATATAACTAATTTTATATTGGTTTTTTTTTTTATTAAAGAATTTATTGCATAAACAGAACACTTATTGACATAAGTTTGTACTTCTATTTGCATAATACCAATGTGTTTTTTCAAGAGTGCAAAGAAAGTTTTATAATAATTTTGATGATTATGTTGATTATAAAAGTTTTTTAATAATAAACTACACAACTTAATATTATATCTAGAAACTATATGATGCTTTTCAGATATTATTTTGTCTTCTTTAAAAATAGCAGTAATGTAAAGAAACCTATTCTTATTAATTTCAAATTTTTTTACATCTTTTAAAATTTAATTTTATTATAGAATATTGTATAATTGCAAGTATTGTTTTTGATCAAGAATAATCAACAATAGCTTAATATTTAGCTGATGTCTCAGAAATTTTTAAAATTACTGATATAATTAAAGTTAAAAAAAAAAAACAACAAACCAAAATGACTATTTATAATGATTGACACTTACTTTTTATTTATATATATTATATAACAATAAGTTACATCAACAGAGACATGAAATATAGCAAAATAAAAAAATTTACAGTTATATTTAGATTTGAAAATTTTTTTTGATTGCTTAATACTTATAAAAAAAAAAACCTCCTAATTACTAATCCTATATTTTTTAGTTGCCACAATTCTGCATAAGTACAACTGTCTTTACAATTTAACTAAATCTACTAATATTTTTTTATATATATATAAAAATGTAGTTTTAATTTTTTGACATATTTGAGTTCTTTAGGTTTCAAATATTACTCTTTTTTAGAATTTAGAAATCAGTATTTGGCATATTCATTTAATTTGCAATTTCTATGATTTTAATATAACTACTAATATAAATCTTTTTTTTGAAAAAAAACTAGTAACATCTGAAATTTATCATATTTAAATTCACTATCGAAAATTTTAGTTTAAATATCTTAGCATTCATAAAGACTTAACAACTACAAATACTGCTATTTTTTTTTTTAGTTCTGATAGTATTTTGATTTTTGGCACATTCAGGTTTCTTGCTAAAATTTCTATCAAAGTACTATCATAGTATTTATGAAAACTATAAAAGAACCATAAGTTTATTACTAACTTTGAAAATCTGATGTCACTTGAATTTTTGGCACATCCTTATCATAACTTTAATGAATGCATTATAGTATTCATAAAAATTAAAAGACTACAAACAACTAAAATAAAAATTAAAAGAACTATAAACAATTGCTTACTAATAAAAACTTCTTTTTTTTTTTTAAACACTTGAATTTTTAGTATATTTAAATTTTTTGGTATAATTTCAATAAAAAATTCAACTTAATATCTATAAAAACAAAAAAAAAACCATGAGTTTACTACTAATCTTTTTTTTTTGAAACCTAGTAACACTTGACTATTTAGCATATTTAGGTTATCTGTTGCAATTTCAATAAAGAATCTATCTTAGTATTCATAAAAACTAAAAAAACTATAAATTTACTATTAACTTTTTTTTTGAAACTTGATAGCACTTAACTTGTCAGCATGTTTAAATTATCTGTTATAATTTCAATAAAGAACCCATCTTAGTATTCATGAAAACTAGAACTATGAATTTACTACTAACTTTTTTTTTTGAAACTTAGTAGCATTTGATTATTCTGCACATTTAGATTATCAGTTATAATTTAATAAAGTATCCATCTTAGTATTTATAAAAACTAAAAGAACTACAAATTTACTAATTTTTTTTCTTTAAAATTCTAATGACACTTGGCTTTTCAGCATATTTAGATTATCTGTTACAATTTAATAAAGAATCTATCTTAGTATTTATGAAAACTAAAAGAACTATGAATTGATTACTAGCTTTTTTTTTTTGAAGCTTAGTAGCACTTAACTTGTCAGCATATTCAAATTATCTGTTGCAATTTCAACAAAAAATTTATCTTAGTATCTATAAAAATTTAAACAACCACAAATTTACTATTAACTTTTTTTTTGAAGCTTGGTAGCACTTGATTATTTGGCACATTTAGGTTATCTGTCATGATTTCAATAACATATTAATCTTAGTATCTATGAAAACTAAAAAAAAACTACAAATTTACTACTTTTTTTTTTTCTTAAAAGCTTAGTGGCATTTGACTTGTTAGCACATCCAGTCTTCTATTGCACTTCAACAAAGTATTCATCTTGGTATATATAAATTACTACTAATCTTTTTTTGAAAAAATTTTTCAATAAAACTTGAATCTTTAGCATATTTAAGCTTTCTGTTAGAATTTTAAAAGAATCCATTTTAGTATTCATGAAAACTAAATGAACTACGAATTTACTGCTAACCTTTTTATTTTTTTTTTTAAACTTTATAGCACTTGATTTTTGGTGTATTCAGGTTTATTGTCACAATTTTTCTCACATTAATATTCTTGAAAACTAAAAGAACCATAAAACATACTATACTAAACTTTTTTTTTTGAAACTAGTTGTGGATTATTAATTACAGAATTTTTTTTTTTGAAGATTTGATATTCTAATAATAACCAGGTTCTTGCCAAATTTTCATAGCTTTTGAAAAGAGCTATGTCAGATAATATTTAAATTTACTTTATAATTACATTTAGTTCCCTGTATAATTTATAGATAAGTATAGTTTTTTATATTAATTAAATTAAAAACTTATAAAAACTACTAATCTTTTTTTTTTTTATGATTTAGTAAATCTTTAATCTTTAATCACATTCAAATTTTCTTAGTTCTCTGTCATATTTTATAAGTAAGTACTAACATTTTATTTGTATAAAATAAAAAAAACTATAAGAACAATTACTTTTTTTTGTTATTTAATGGCTTGCTCTAGATTACTATAATTTTTATTAAAACCTTTAGCAATTAATCATACTTTTGTTACCTTCCAGATTCAAAGTTTATTACTACTACATACATGGTTTTCTAATTTATTACAGTTAGACCTCTTTAAGTGCATACTCCTTAAGCATATACTTTATATGTTTTTTCTTATAGTCTTAAGAAAACTGTACTTAAAGAGGTTTTACTATATTATGAATTTCAAAGTTTGTATTGGCAAAGAAAAAAAAATCATATAAATAGTGCTTAATTATTGGTGATAATGTATCTTATTTGATAATAGTATGTGACTAACATACTCTTACTTTGTGCAATGCAAGTAATTATTATTAGATTATGTGAATTTTAGTATCAGTCAATTTCAGCATTAGGGGTGTGGGTCCCATAGCTTAGCGGTTAAGCTCCCATACTCTTCACAGTCAAGGTCAACGGTTCAAGTCTGGCTGGAGGCAAAATCGAAAGATTTTAGCTTCTGTAACCTAATAAGGAGC